GGAAAATTTGAGTTATTTATTTTTAAACATATAACACAACATATAATTATAAATACATTGGCAAATATTCGCAAGAAAAGAGTTTTCAAAAGTAAAACTTGATACATGAGGTACCAAATATACATAGTGTGTCCCATATATGACGTGCTGTCATCGAACTCGCGATACCGCATCGCGCGCTACCTATAAGTGTCCGAATCAAATTTATGTTTTGATTCGGAAGCGTCATATGGGACACACTATGTATATATGGTACCTCATCTATAAAGTTTTACTTTCGGAAATTCTTTTCTAGCGAATATTTGCCAATGTCTCCATAATTACACATGTTGTGTTATATGTTTAGAAATAATTGTATTAATTATATTATATTAATTATATTATATAATATTAATAATTTATAACATTTTTATCATAGAAAATATTCTTACAATACACGCATTTATATGAATATAGCTAATTTTTCAAAATCTTAATAACATATAAATGTCGATCAATTAGACAATAAGTTATCATCGAGATTCTTCTATTTTCTCTTGTATTTGTTTTGTCAATCTTTCATTATTTATATATAAAAATATGCACTTTTAAATTTTTAAATTGTTTTTTTACATACCGATTTTGAATCGAGATCTTACTTGAATCGATTTTTTTAAGAACCTAAAGTAGTCCCTTCCGTTGTGCATATTGTTTTGTGATGTGCTATATGTAGAAAAAGGAAACAAATTTTATTGTTGGAAATTCCATTGTTCCATTATTTTCATTTTATAATGAGCCTTTAAGACAGAAGAAGATAGAAAATCACAGAATAGCATTAAATTAACATGAAAAAATGCGTAGCACGGAATATTTTAAAAAATTCTAAAAAATTTAAAATTTTTCAAACAAAATGTACTTATTTTTATATTTTATATATTTATTAATAATTGTTTTTATATAACATAAATATTTACAAATGTATCATATTTTTCTATGTTGGGAAAATACATTTTCTTTGAATCTCAATAAATCTCTCAGCTAGTGCACTCTTGTATGAAAGAAATACAATAGAAAAAGTTTGGGATAGAGTTTTAGAAATGTGCTATTAACAGATTATATGCTATAGGTTTGTAACACCCTGTATATTTCTTACGACAAGAAGTGTTATAAGAAGGGAGGCGAATTTTTGATATGTACTTGAAAACTTTATTAAATCACTTCTTGTTTCATTTTCAGATAGCCTTTAAAAAATATTGTAAAATATTGTCTAAAACTAAGGATCATGAAAAAAACGATTTAACGTATTTCGTATGTCTTACATATTCTAACTATTAGCATAAAGAATGCAAATCCAAAAAACAAATTATGAACTTTTAACAAATTCATGAAAATTGTAAAAATTCATGGTAAGTTGTAATAAAGTTAAAAGTGAAAAAACATTAAATTTCTTTCAACACTTTACGAAAGCAAATTAATCTTTTAATATATAATTTGTCTTCGATAATACTAAAATATACAAAAATATTATTCTTTATTAATTTTAATAATTAAACATGTATATAACTTAAATTTTCCCATAATTATTGTTTTCATATTTTCAAAACATATATACTATAATAAATCATAGATATACAATTTAACGTGTTTCAAAATTCTCGTTTATGAATTAAATAGTGTTATTAATTTATAATTAATAAAAAATTAAAAATTTTATTAAATAGATTACCAAAAATTTCTTAATAAATTAAAAATTGACAACTCCTCTCCCCTAATAAGCTTGCTGCGTGAAACGTCATACGCACAATAAGAAAGAAAACAAAGCAACTGAGAACAATAGTATAATATATATTACGTGATCTCAGATAAAATAAAAACGCTTTCTATTGTAATCCAGGTAGCGATGTTAGACAAATAAATTCGTAATATTTGTTGTGTGCGTTCGCATAAATAATTGTCTTTATAATTTTACAATACATATTTTATAGCTATTAGTTATATACAATACATATAATCAAATATCTCGCATAAAATAAATAGTGATTGTTAAATGAATATTATTAGAAAACTTTTACATTATGCTATTATTAAAATAAGACATAATTAATATTTTATTTATTCATCTTGTATCGACGTATGTTAACATATGCTTCAATAAATTAATTAATTTTTTTACATATCAAAATTTGTAAATTTTTCTGCACATTTATGCAAGTGTTAAAGGAATATTAAGAAATTATTTATACTAATTTTTTTTCATCAAAGTGATTAATAAGTGCTCTTGCTCTCTGCGATTGCGATGAAATAACTTTGTGAAAATTTTTGTTCGAGTTAACAACGAAAACAGTAAAGGAAATTTTGACATCTCCAATAAGAAAGTAAAATTTTTATTTACAAAGTAAATAACTCTTATTTATAAAGTAAAATTCTTATTTACAGTTGCATGAAATACATTATGAAGATGACTCGAAGTGAGTCGAAACGTTTAATATATTAAAGAATGGAGGGTTAACGTCATCGTTTTACTTTATCTAATCGTTCTCCTTTACGTGGCTTTTATTTGTCGTTTCCAATTTTATTTTTAAGAAAGTAAAACATTTAATTCTTATAAAATTACATTAATATACATAAACATGCAAAAATAAAATAATAGAATAGTAATTCTTATTATATATTGTATTTATTAGCTATCTGCTTTTTTATTTCAAAACAGAATATGGGAATCTTTAAAATCATTTTACTTTAATTGTTTTTTGACAATACTAAATAAACCTTTATAACAAACTTTATAAATTGCATCTGATTAAATTACAGAAAATTATAATTCTAAAATTATAATTTTAATTGTAAGTGTCATCAGAAAGGTAACACACACACACACACACACAAAGAGATTCTTTATTACTATATTATTATTTATATATTAGTTTAGATATTAATATATTATATCGTATATATACTTTATTATTATCTCTTTGGATTGTCGAATTCGTTTGGATTAATCCCGAACGGCTTATAAAGTGTGACTCTTTCAAATATCTAATTCTCTTTCCTAACTCGAGTAATATCTAAAAAAATGGATTAAATATAAGCAAAAGGTTAAATATATAAACGGAGTTCTGATTTAAATTTAAAAAATGAGAAATTGTACATTTTTTTTGCTAAAAATACATAAAGTGTAATTCATTGATTCACATCTTTACAAATAATATAAATATAATAACTTAAAATTAATAAAACAATAAATGAGTAATTGCTAACCGCTCTGGTACTTAGTTGGGAATATCCAGTCCATTTTATTGGATCAACAGAAAGAGCCTGGCAAAAGATATAATGTTAATTTCTATTATTGTTTCTAGTAAATTTAAATAATTATTGTCGAATCTGTTGGCATAATAAAATTAATTTGAGATAAGTAATTTTTAATTCTCTCGTATAATTTATGCCTGTTTCAGCAAAGTTTATTATGTTTTCTTTCTCCTCCAGCATGTTTTTTCAAACACTTTCTGTTCATTTTTTTTACTGTACTTATAAAACTTCTTCGCAGAAGGCCATTTAAAATATGAACAATGAATTATAATAAGCGTCCGTAATTTGTATAGTATACTATTACATCAGTAATAAATTTTTAAAACAATAAATTTTTTAACATTAAAATACTCAAGAAATACAATATGCGAAGAATAAATTACAATATTCAAAGTATAAATCAAAATATCACTTTTTTTGTTTTAATGCAACAAATATAAAATATATTAAAATATAATATATATTTAATTTTACATTAAAATTACATTTTTACACTACAAATGTAAAATAAAGTAAATATAAATGCATTATATTTATGTACTATTGCTATATTTATTTAGCAATCTTATTTCGTAAAACTATTAACAAATTATTCTATTTTTTTACTTTCCATATATAAATAAAACAGTATAATTTAACATATTTATTAAAATAAAAAAATTATATTATAGTATTACAAATAATAAGATAATTTATAGAATAAATAAAAATTGCAAATTTTTAGATTTTTAAAATATTTTTTTTATTATTATATTTTAACGTCCCAAGTTTTCATCCCCTGAGAATTTGTGGACAAATGCGTAATATTAATTTGTCTGAAACATTTTTCACTATTTCGTTTAACTTACGAGTACTTGAGTGAATTGATTAATATTACGCATTTGTTTTTGAAATGACCCCTAAAGTTCATTTTGACCACAGTCATAAGTTACCTATTTGGACGTGAAATTTTCCGTACTTTCTATTTCCGTAGTCAGAAATAGGGATTCCTGTTTGAAAAAATCAGTTTAGCCTCAAAATGACCTTAACCCTCCACCTCAAGGTCAAAGTCAAGGTCACCGCTAAGTGTCCCCCTACTTATCCTACAACTTTTGTCTGAGGCATTTTCCGCTATCGTCCCTACCTGAGGAGATATTCCCGTGGACGGATTAAAATGGCCCACCCTGTATATGTATGTATATGTATATGTATGTATGTATGTATGTATGTATGCATATATGTATATTGACATTTTAATTATTTATATATTAATTGATTGATACATACACACACATATATTATTTGAATGATATAATTAATTATGTATTATTACACAACGTACTCGAAATAATTTGAATTACTCGAACCATTTAAAACATCACACGTTAGATTTGATTATTATAACAAATCTCATGTAACATATATCGGCAATTAAAAGAGAAGCACATAAAAAATATAATAATTGATTGGAGGAAAATAATTTAAAGCGCATTTATTGCTTTCAATTGACAACCTTATAATCAATTTTAACAAACTTTATAAATAATTATGTAATGCATAGATTTGAACTACATTTCTTTAAAATTTTTACATCTTTCATATTAAATATAGTTAAAATTTTTGTAAATAGCAAGATGAATGGATCAGGCTCTATTAACAACGAGGCGCGGAGTCATCAGAGTGACCCGGGAAAAATAAACGATGACCCAATAGAGTTCCTCGTAAGATGTAGCGGGAGACAGTTTCTATCGCGGTTCTTCACTTCTGTACGCTACTTTGACGGATCGAGATTTATTCATACTACTGTGCTGAACATTTAATCATCTCTTGTCAGTAAGAATTGTTCAGTTTGTAATCACTCACGTGTTCACCATGAAGGAACAGTGGAAAAATGGTAAAAATAAATTAATTATTAATATATATTTTCTCGTTTCTTATATTAAATATAAAAGTGTGATTCTCTTTATATCATAATCTTATATATATTAAATATAATTTTTTATCATTTTATTAATAAGATGTATAAATAGATAAAAATTTTTTAAATTTATATATACATAGAAAAAGACGTAGCAATTTTAGAAGAAGGATTACAACAGAAGAAACAAGAATATATAAGCAAGTCCAAATATAATACCAATTGTTGCAAGCAATGGACACGATACATCAGATTGATATTTTTATTAACACTAACGTTATTCCTCGGATGGGGTTGTTACATGATCTTACAGAATTATCATTCCCGAGTGACAGAAAATGAGATTGCAGATGTCACTCGTGAAAAATATTCACTAGTGTCCGAAGTACAGAAATCACATCCAACTGGGGAAATATCTGTGATATTTGTCAAACCTGAAATTACAGATAAGCTAAATAATAATTTTCTAGAAGCCATAGGATTGAAAGAACCAGATTTAATGCCAAGCAAGACAATTGGAATAAATGTAGACAGCAGTATGCAAACGAGTACGCAGAATTCTGTTAGCATGCCAAGTAACAATATAATGGAAGCAAGTGATATCAATAATCCCCTAATGACATCATCGTCAAAAAACAAAGGACTTTTGAAGATGATGGTATGGAAAAATTTTCCGATCCAAAACATCGATAAAATGATTATTTTTAACAACAACAAAGAATCTAATGTCTTGAAACAATTTCTTGAAAAATTGCACAATATAGCAATTAATGACTTAAAAAGATTTGCAAATAACAATGATTTTACTGAGACTGTTGATCGCTTGATGTTAAATAATCAGGAAGATCGTGCTCCAAATGCATTCAATGAAATCAAAAGTGCAGGATTTAATGTTAGGATTTTAAAAGTTGAAGATTTCGAAGATTTGACAAAAAGTTTGAAGAATAGTGCACAAGATCTGAAACAGATATTTCTTGATATATCTGAACAATTTGCGATACAAGATAATCATAGTGAAAAAAGTTCTTCGAACGATGGAACTGATGAACAAATCAATGCATCTACACAATCAGATTTTGTTATATACCCACCTAATAAATCGCCCCCTATTTTTGCAAATAATCTACAAAGTGGACCGAAAGATATATCAGAATCTAACAAGATAAAAAGAAAGAGAAGAAATCCACCATTGGAGAGTACGACTGAAAACACGGAGACTATTGATGCTTTTACTCCAGAAACAAAAATACATAATCAATCTCACGAAAGCGAAAATATTGATTCGGACATTTTTAACAAAGCTCCTAAAAATAGTAAGGAAAAGAATATTTTTAATGCATTAAATAATTTTGCGTCAAACGATAATTTTAAAAAATTAATGAAACAAACGATGCCACTATTTTAGATAAAGTATCCAGGACAATAAGTAAAGAAAATGAGGATAATGACCGCGAGATAATATCTTATAATATGAAGGACTTTGAAAATGTTGATATAACGTTCAAGGAATTTCCGGATTCACGGAAAATTTCCTTGCCTGACAAAGAAGAAGTGAAAATTCCTGAAGAAGATATACAGAAATATGATATGTATGTCGATTATGATAAAATGAAGCGCCCTAAAATTTTATAAAATTCTACACATACGGCACCTTTTATTACAAATATATATTAAATACGTAATAGCAAAATGTTAGCAGAATATCGGCAGTATGACAGCAAGATTAATCATGACTTTATAGCAGATTCCTGTCCACTGTGTCCGCAATTGATGACATTCTGCTAGCATATAAGTAAGCAAAATCTGACAGCAGATTAGCGGCAAAAATCGAGATGATTTGCACAATATAGTTGATGGCAAATTGGCGACAGAAACCGAGCAGATTTGTCAAACACAATCTGATAGCATATTGGCGACAGAAATCGAGCAGGACCTGGACAATTCCTTGTCATTTGAATATATGATAGAATTGAATATTTTTCAGTAAATATGTACAATAAGATGTATCATCCGTTAATTATAATTTTTTTTTATAAATATGAAATTTAATGTATAACATATATTATATTATAGTTATATCTCACATAGCAATTAAATGTTTAATTTAATTTAATTAATAAAATAAATTTTTAAAATATTTAAATTTATAATTTATAAAATTCAAGATATAATTTATAAGAATTAAATTCTCTCTTGTTTTATGCTTTAAATGGGAAGTAAATGGATAATTTTTCATTTATATCCTATTGATTCTAATCAGTTTAATATTCTTATATGTTAGACTTGCTAGATATCAGAAAAGAAAAATATACGGTCTATTCGGTTTGGCTACACTGGCTACACTAATTCAGAGGTTATCTTTTTCCTTCCAATGTCGAGCAAAAAAGACAACCTCTGAACTAGTGTAGCCAGTGTAGCCAAAACGAACAGACCTATATACTTTAGATCTTCTATTTATAGCCACGACTTGCAGACCTTATATCTATGTTTACCAGAAATTTAACTCCGAGAAAATACATCGCATAGCGGTAAGGAATTATTAAATAGCTACAAAATGCAGATCCATGTTGTCAATTTGCCATCAGATTGTCCGTGCGCAAATTTTGCTCGATTTCTGCCGCAATCTGACATCAAACTGCGTTCCGCAGATCCTGCTCGATTTCTGCTACTAACTTGTTGCAAAATTATGTTAACAGATTTTATAACATTTCTGACAACATTTTGCTATTATTGTCTGTTATAACAGGTTTTATATACAAATCTGCAGTGTTTTTTCTGGCAAAAATATATAACACCAATTTGCATACATGTTATTGGCATTCTTGGCTATCGGAAATATTGCATTTACATTATATTTAATTATATATGAAATATAACGTGTTAAATACGTAATTTATTGCAATATGTTTGATATATCCAAGTGAAAATACATATGTAATACATAGCAGGTATACTGCGCATATTATATAAATATTTATGTATCAAACACGTATATAGTTGATACATACATTATCGTAGTAGCACATTATAATTACACACAACAAAATTAGTAAATTTAATTTAAAGTTGAATTTTATATCAAGTATACTTTATGAAATCGTGTAAATTGCGTTTAGGGTAGGCAACAGTTAGCATATATGTTTAAAAGTTTATAAGTCAAAGTTCTCGCCTTTTCAGTGCTTTGTCAATGTGCATATTAATATAAAAAATTTGCTTTAATTATTTAGAAATAAAATATTAATAAAATGTGAATTACTTATATGCATCAAAAATAGAACGTCTTATTTTTAACCATATATAATTAAATTAAAAAGATATAGTTATTTGCTTAAGCAACTAATTATCAATCACATATTTTGATAAGATTAGTACTCTATTACTATGATTGTTAGAAGTAATTTTCTTTAATCTGATTTAATATCTGTGTCATATAGTATAAGTAGTAATTCTGCTTAGGTTGTACAAATGGAGATTGTACATGTGTTGAAGAGTACAAAAGATCAAAAGATTGCTCGAAGTGCATTATTCAAATTGTAATATCAAAGATAGACGCAGCACACTAAAGTAAAATTGTGAAATATTTTTTCTCTAGTTGTAATTTTTTTAGTATCATTATAATCAAATTTATTTAGAACAATATATATATATATATATATATATATATATATATATATTTGTTTTTTTTTTCAATTAATTTCTGTTGGGCAAAAAAAACATTAAATTCATCGATAACAATGGCGAAAATAATTGTCATCAATCTTGAAATTCTTATTTAGTTTCCTTATCACGTCCAACGGAACCCTATAAATACGCAATTTTTCTTTAATCAATCTTATTGGCCGGAAATAATAGTATTTAAATTACACACGGAGAAAATTTTATATTAATTTGTAATATAATTTTAAATTATATTTTACTATTTTTTGCATTATTGGTGGACCATCATGACTTTATAGAATAAATTAAAGTATAACATAGCAAAACTTAAAACCAACATTTATCTAATATATTTTATCATTTGCCATAGTAAAAATTTGTAGGTATAAAAAGTTATCTTTATTATCATTTAAAGTATTATAATATGTTAAACCTCTTTTTTTTACTATATTTAAATGTATCTATATACTTATTATATCTATCGTCGTTGACGTCGTTTACTGAATTTTGGTTTTTATTTAGAAGTGCATGAAAAGTGACATACAAAAAGAACACGTAAGTCAAAATTAGTTTTATTATAATATAGATGATATAGATGCATTGAATAAAAATGTCATCTGAATATGGAGATTCTAATCAAACAAAGGTAACTAAATTTATATTATTAGAATTATTAAAACTAAAATATTGTTTAATTTCTTTTCGTACAATGCATTATTTTTTTTCTGTAATTCTTATAACGTTTGGTCTGATAAATCAAGTAATGTTTCATAAATTATTAATTATTAATTATTTTTTATTTATTGATTTACCAGACCAAACGTTATAAGAATTACAGAAAAGAAATAATGCATTTTACGAAAAGAAATTAAACAATATTTTAGTTTTAATAATTCTAAATAATATAAATTTAGTTACCTTTGTTTGATTAGAATCTCAACAGCGCTATCATACACAGTTTGATACTATTAAAATAATTTTGATATAACTTTTACTATGGTAATATCACTTTTTATCACATCAATAAAGTAATTTTAGTGAAACCGCCGCTAAAACTATATTATAAAGTGAGAAGAGTAAATTTTTGCTATGTTGTATAGTTACAATTTATTTAGTGTATATTTTTTATCTTTCTTTGCAATACTAACATTTATTCAGAAAATTTTTACTTTGTAATATACAAATTTTATTATGAGGAAGAGTAAAAATTGCTTTGCTTCATTATTTTTAAAATAATGACTATAGCATTTAGGCTTATAAAGTCTTGATGGTCCGCAGCTACTGTGACATTATAGTAATATTTAATATAAAATTTTCTCCGTGCATGTTGTTTATATATAGTTTCATTTTTTGTCTGTTTATATCGCGATAATTATATCACAATTGGTAATAGAGACTTAATTATTTAACCACGATCTTATTGCGATCTGATTAATAGAGACTGAAAGTATGAAGAAATGCGTCGATCGATTGTACGAGAGTAAAATAATATGAAAATAATATTCTGTGTGTTGCTTTAATTTTTTTTATATCACAATTTTTGTTTTTAATATTTTAATTTTTCTATATATTATATAGTAAATAAAATAAATTAACATTGAATAAAAAATAAATTAATTAAAAATATTATTAAGAAATATATACACAAATTGTATCACCTTTGGCCCTCTCGTTAAAATCGGGTAGAAGGCTTCCCATTTTATCGGAGCGTGTTGGGACTTTGGGACGAGGATCGAGTTATAGGTCGTGAGGACGAATTAATTGAACACGTGGCTTACAAAGCAGAGCACTTTAATGATCACTAATAGGTTTTACAAAGCAACTTGTCACCTTGTCTCTCGTCAGAGTGCTTAAACGCGTAGTGCATTGAATAAGCGCGTGACAAAACGCGAAAAGACTCCGACTTGAAAGACGTAGTACTTGGAGAACGTAGGCTATTGAAATCGCGCAGGTTGTCACCGTACATTCCTAAGTCCTCCCTAAATCGCTTGCTCATTGTTCGCTTACCCCCGAGACCACAGACTTCTATATGTAATCTAGACTGCTAATGCAGACTTTGCGAATAAAGTCACAAAAGAGAAAGGCGACCATCTTTCAAATACATTCATATACATTATCGATCACTTATACATTGACAGGATACATGTACGTGAAGTACTTTCAAAGATGACGAATTGTTATAATTACTAACTTTAATGAAACCTGTACTAAACTATAACAATCTAACAGTCTAGATTAATAATGCGAATACTTATTTAGTCAGCTCTTTTAATTTTTAAAGCCACAATCTCCACTTGATTCCTCTCGACCAATAGAGCCAAACGCGATGTTATTGCGATAATTATGAAGGAAAGAACATTTTGGAAAGGAATTTGAATCCTATGGTTGGGATCTCAGAAATTCCCCCTGTTCCTTCTCTTAACATCCCCTGTAAAGAAATAGGCGAGAAAAATATTGGTCCGAAAATTCAAATTCCTTTCCAAAATGTTCTTTCCTTCATAATTATCGCAATAACATCGCGTTTGGCTCTATTGGTCGAGAGGAATCAAGTGGAGATTGTGAGTCTAGATTAAATATAGAAGTATGTGCGATTGACATACGTTTCGGATGCAATTTATTATGTTGTCTTCATATTATTTGTATTATTTTTTGGCGCGAGAGATTTATATATATATATATATATATATATATATATATATATATATATAACTTTTTATTATAATACTTTAATATAAAAATAGGATATAATAGAAAAATAGGCTAATAAAAACTAACAATAAGACGTAGAAGAAATGGTTATATTTTTTAAAAAATTTTCAATTCCTATTAAGAAAAATAAATTTCACAAAATGTAGCTATTTTAGTAATGTAATAAATTGAATAATTGGTGAAAATGTTTGAAAAGTAATTGTTAGTACTTTGCTTTCTATGACTTGTCTTTCATTATTTTGTTTTACAACGCGTTTTAATATTTATAATTAAATATAAATTTAACGTATAAGACGGGCAACAAGAGCCAAATCGCGGATGACAATGCGTTATCCTAACGAAACTAAATAATTTTCCGTTAGAATTAAATACCGGTGCACAAGGCACCAAATTTTACTTGGACACGGCCAAGATTTTAAAATATGAAATAATCTCATATTTGAGATTTAATTTCAATACCCCCTTTAACCCCCCTACGGAAAATAAATAAATGAATGCAAGAGAAAAATATAGATCCGAAAATCGCTGAATCGGGAAACGAACCCGAGACCTTTCGCTTGCCGGGCGACTGCTCTTCCCGATTCAGCGATTTTCGGATCTATATTTTTCTCTTGCATTCATTTATTTATTTTCCGTAGGGGGGTTAAAGGGGGTATTGAAATTAAATCTCAAATATGAGATTATTTCATATTTTAAAATCTTGGCCGTGTCCAAGTAAAATTTGGTGCCTTGTGCACCGGTATTTAATTCTAACGGAAAATTATTTAGTTTCGTTAGGATAACGCATTGTCATCCGCGATTTGGCTCTTGTTGCCCGTCTTATACGTTAAATTTATATTTATATTACAGAGCCTTGTTAAAACTCTTATATTTATAATTAAAATTTTTTTAAATGTTTGTTTTAATATTTGTCTTATTTTTAATATTCTATATTTATTTTATCCTTTTTTAAAATAATTTTTAACAGAAGCAATGTTGCATTGTGCGATTAACAAAATACAAATGACAAAAAATTACAGACTAAAAATATCTCTGAAGAAGCTTCTTTTCCAAGCTGCGTTCGACTGCACACTGGAAATGTTCGTATGCACATGCAAAGTTGAAGACATCCTCAATAGTGATATCACTGTAGTTGAGAATGATGATTATCAGTTTGACAGGTAAATATATTATATTACCCCTTATTGTCTCAGTCATTATAAGAAAAAGATTTTTTAAAATACAATGTGCGTCGGATAGAATCCTGGATGTCGCAATCAAGCTGCCAGACGTGATTAACATATATGTATAGTTTGATCTATTGTCGCGCAGACGTTTACTTTTATTTATTTCGTGTGCTATAAACAATGACATTATTCGATATTTATAATTTTCCTTTATATTAGTTTGATATTGTGTTAATGTTTTTTTTGTATTATTGTTTAATATTAGAAATGTTTGTTAGTACATGTATTATTGTTGTATGCTTTTTTTTTGTTCTTTAGCAGGTTTTTACTTTTATTAATTTTTTAAATTAAGATAGACTATCAATAGTTACTTTTATGAGCTAATAATGTATTTCACTTTTTTTATAAAGTTTAATTATTTATATTTTAATATTTTAAAATATATAATTTGAAATATATAATACTTGACAAATGAAAGAGAAACAACGACAATGAAGCTAAATGAACAAATAAAAGAGAAAAAAGATTTTATCAAAATTATGATGAAAGTAGATAATATTTGATGTAGTATGACAGTTTACAATATAATATTTAATTTTATATTTTATAATTCTTTTATCATTATTTAATATTTTCTAATTAAAAAAATAAAAAAAAGTTACGTATATTCTACATATTGTATAATGTAATTTATATAATGTAGTTAATTTTGTGGTATTATTATTTAAATATAGTTATATAGCGACGTCATGCGAATATAATCTTGTCAGCATTTTATTTGGCACATAATGAATATTTTTGAATTTGCAGAAATAGCGACCTATTTCACTATTATTAATCCATTTCGATTTTGAAAAAATTATAGCGTCTGAGAAAATGAGAAATGTAAATAAAAATATAATTTTAATAAAGAAAAATATTAAATAAATTTAAAAAGAAGATAAAAAATAATAACTAAAAGAAATACAGTAACAAAATTAGAAAAAAATGAAACAAAAGAAACTAAATAAAATAAATTATTATTAATGTTATAATACAAAAAGGTGAGAACTTGAAAAAAAATTGTCTAACGATATTCTCGTACCTTCTTCCACATAACATATGTTATTATTTTCGCAAATTATATGACAAACTGAACTCAACATTTGTATCTCTAGGTCGGTGCCATCCGACTATTATCCGGTGTAAATATATAATATTTTGTTTTATAATATAATATTTGTGTGGTAAAAGTTTTATTATATTTAATAATAATATTTTTTATATTAGTATTCAATAAGAATTCTATTTATAGAAATTTTGTACATTCTCGAAATATATTGCTTATTATTAATATAATGTAATGCCCTTTGAAATGTTACATAATGCAATTCCTAATATTAATACTAATATTTAAATAATATTATTACTCTGGCAATTAATTATCACAATAAAAATAAAATTTTGCTATATAAATTTACTAAATTTGAACTGATATACACCATATAATATTACATTCTCGAATTTACGCGAATTGGGATTTTATGCGATTTTGGGATCATCAGTAATAATTATAATAGAGTAGTCATATATATAATTTCGAAATTAGTTAAAGTTAAATATATAGATAGATTTATTCTACAAGCATTTGTTAAATATATGAATAATATGAGAACTTTGTCATTAAAAATAAAAAAAGTTATGTATATTCTACATATTGCATAATGTAATTTATGTAGTTAATTTTCTATTATTATTGTCTGAGTATAGTTATAGCGGCGTCGTGTGGATAAAATTTTCTCAGCATCTTATTTGGCATGTAATGCGTATTTTTGAATTCGCAAAAATAGGGATCTATCTGGCTATTATCGATCCATTTCGGCTCTGTTAGATTTATAGTGTCTAAAATGAGAAATACAAGTAAAATAAAGTTTTAATAAAGATACACACAATATTAAATAAAAAATAAAATAATAATTAAAAGAAATATAATAATAAAATTAGAAAAAAATAAAATAAAGAAAACAAAATATAATATTTTATCCACACAAAGAGATTAGAATTACAAAAAAAATGATTTCTAATTCATATTACCTTCATTTACATAACATATATTATTATTTTCAGTGAGAATTATATAATTTGTTTGTTGTTTTCTAAATCCGTAATTGTGAATCAATGGCAATGCACGTTGAATATAATAGGAAAAAATTTCACTATCGTCATAGGTTGACAAATCAAACTTAACATTTGTATCTTCAGGTCGATGCCATCCGATTATCACGCCGGCACAAGTATCTTGATTATCGTTGTCACGATGTGTTACTATCATCTCTATTGCACATTTTACATCCTCTGGTCTTGTATTTAACTGCCTTCCTTTTTTAAAGCGAAGGGAGATCTAGAAAGATCAGATCTTAATTATTGCTTGCCAATTAATTACAAATAGTCTCCCATAGCACAATAAATTATAATATATGCAACTGTACATGTTGTACATAAGATGTATATATATATACCTCATAAGTACAGCTGTAAAATCGAGATTCACGCGGATAAAGTCCGAAAAATCTATTATATTTGATTTTTAAATTTAAAAATAATATTTTTATATTGTTCAAATCTGAAAAAAGAATTAAACATAGTAAAAATTAAATGTGTACAAAACTCTGATTACAAATCACACAAAAATGAGATTGTTTAATTGTTTCTGTTGGATACACATAAAACGTATTTCATTTATTTATATCTTTGCTAAGATTACAAATATATTAATTAATTTTCAAATTAATAGAAATTATATATATAATTAATAGAAATTATATATGTAACAGATTACCTCTGTGGCATTTATAAATATAGATAATGCATGTCTGTTAGTGTACAGCGTCCAGAATAGCGGTAATTGGTTGATAAAACAAACCCGGAATTGCTCAAAAATTATGTTAAAACATCTTGCATTTTCTAAACAATTATTCGTGGCACTGTGAACAATATATTATATTATTATATATACAGGATACACCTAAATAAGAGCGAAAAATTTTAGATGATTCTTTGTCGAAAATTTCGGGAGTTCTCTTATATAAGTATACTCTTTTAACTTTTCTAAAAAGAGGAAGGTAAAAATTAAGTATTTTTTTTTCTCAAATTTCAGTCAAATTATTAAAAGAAAACTTGGATATTTTCTACTAGTAAAAAAGATATTTATTAATAATAAAAGTAAAAACTTTATTTTTAGCTCGTTATTTAGAAAAATGTAACTCCTCAGAGAAGGAGATAAGAGTATATGTTTATATAAGAAACCCTCCTTAATTTCCGACAAAGAATTATCTCCTAAAAATTTTCGCACTTATTTAGATACACTCTGTATATGTGTGTGCGTGTGTGTTAAATAATAAGAGTAAAAATCTTGAGAACGTCATACAATTACGAATTTATTATTATACTTATTATTTTGGTGTCCAAAATATACAATAGTGATGTTCCAGTTTTATTATTTGACAACATAGACCAAGTCTCCTGGCCACGCTGATATATTATTAATAAAATTATTTCGTGTCCGCACTTATTTTTTAAGACCTATATAAAAGATATATTAAAATAAGAAATTAATTAGAACGAGAGTATTTTCAATATACGTATAAAAAACATATATAGTCACGTTTTGCTGCATAACTCGTATAATTATATAATATACAGTGTGCCCCGCAACGTAATGTCCACAGTGAAACTTTGTATTCTTGGGCTTATTCTAAGTCAAAAAGTCTTAATACATATATGCCCTAAAATCGATTGTTTTAAAATTATAGCAAAAAGACGAAATTGCATAAAATAAGATAAGTATTATTTATTGAAGATAATAATTTTATTTATTAAACGATAATATATCCCAGCAAACACCAATATATAATTGTTACATTGCTATAATAAAACGGAATATAACAGGTAATATAACGTGTACGTTACATGTAACATCCATGTTAGTTGTAATTTCCCATTCATAGATGTAACATTTTAATATAACATATATTACATTGTAATTATATTGTAATTATATACCAAATAGCACATTGATGTATTGATAAGTCAGTGCTATTTTGAGATATAATGACAATATGACTACAATGTAATATATATAATATATGTATTTTTTTGTGATTTAAAAATGTTACATCTATGAGTGGGAAATTACAACTAACATATACGTTACATGTAACATGCTTGAGTATATAACATTTATATACTGTGTTTGCTCGGATTATATATAATAATTAACTACTTTATAACCTATGTAGTAATGTAAGTCATAAGGTGTTTTTCTCGCACTTGTGAGGTAAATTAAGGTATACATTGAATCGTTGAGAAATAAGCTAATTTCTGTAAAGAATAATTAAAAATAAATTTTTAATTATTATTTACAAAAATTAATGTTTAATTATTATTTACACATTTATATATTATTTATTTTATTACTATGACAACGCATGTAATTATTTTTTGTAATGCCAGTCACGAAAGTTTGAATTTTGATTGCTGTTTAGTTTGCAGAAAGTGATTAAATTTCTTAACGCTTCAATGTATGCCTTACTTTGCCGCACGAGTGCAAAAAAACATCTTTATGATTTACATTACTGCACAGTTTATAAAATAGTTAATTATTGTATAATATTATTGTTCAATAAATAAAATTATCTTTAATAAATAATACTTATCTTATTATATATGCAATTTTGCTTTTTTGCTGCAACTTTAAAATAATCGACTTTATGTGCATTAAGACTTTAGGGCATATGTGTATTAAGATTTTTTAATTTAGAATAATCCCAAGAATACAAAGTTTCACTGTGGACATCACGTTGCGAGACACCCTGTAAATTAAAAATCTGTATTTTATCTATAGAATTATCTATGATAACTTACTCTGTCTATATATAAACATTCCACAGTTGTGTCTCTCGGATTACATGTTCGGTAGTTCAATGCTTCAAATATATATTTCTGGAGTGTATCCATAATCTGCGTACTTTCTTTTTCGTCCCAGTGATTATCATCAATATTGTTGTTTTCCCAATAGGAAAAAGTTTCATCAGACGTGGAGAATATTGAATGTTTAAGATGCTTCTCTCTGAGACAATTCAGTACATCTTGTGCAATTCTATCCAATGATGTTTTTACGTTCGAGTAAAAGACATCCTTTTCAGGCTGAAGTGATTGTGCCACAAAAATAGCAACCCGTTCCATAAGCTGCTGTCTGCCTGGTAGATCAAGCATTTTCTCAAATTCTAGTTTAATCGAATTTAACCTTAATTCTCGTAAAAATCTTGTATAGTAATATCTTTCGGTAAAATTGCAATCAGTTCTTCTGAAAAATTTATATATTAACTGCGTAAATAATAGATTAAGCTATGAAGGTAATAGCATATAATATATACATATATTGAGACTTTTACCCTAAAGATTGTGATAGCATATTTTTAATCTCATCAATAATGAAAAAATATTCCATACAATAGTTCGTTTTGTTATAAATCTCATTCAAGTAATTTCTCAAATCTATATCAAATAAATAGCTACCTCTAAATTGTATTATGTTATTGATTGCTATACAGTATTTATTATTGCAGTATATAGTTACATAATAATGTTTTTGAATTGCTTGAAATATATATTTTCGTAATCCTTTCACACAATTTTTTCTTCTTTCAATAAAGTTTAAGCTTCCTTTAATCCCTTGCACTGAATTTACAGGTTCTACCTGTGCATTTTCTTTACATTGCTTGTCATAATATTCCTTTGCAAGATGCCATCTGAAATTGAAACAAAAAATACATTAATAAACTTTTGAAATTTGCACTAAGCAATGCTTTGCACCACTAATAAATATTCAAAAAAATAACGTCTTTAAAATGTATATAAAATATGAATCCAAATATATATTGTTTCTGTTCTAATCCTAAATATATAAAATATGTAATATTATATACAATAATATTTCATAAATATACAGTAATAATACAATAAATATGCAAAGGTCTATAATTTTTAATTATAATTAAATTTATAAGGAAATACAACAGAGTGAATTCAAGTATCTAAACAATACTACATTTATATTTTTATGCAATTTTAATAAATTATGGTATATATTTTATTCCATTTTTACAAAACGGTATAGTTATCAAATTAATTACAAAATAAAAAAAATTTAATAGAGTAATTTAATAAAATAAGATTATGTATAAGTAAAAGATGTTTAAATAAATGAAATAAAAATACAAAATCTCCACTATTTTTTATATATAATTTTTTAATTATGTTATACTAGATATATATGTTATATTTTCTTCAATCATATAATGCAAAATAAATAAAAAAAAAAATAATAAAAAAATTAGAAAATAAAAAATAAAAAATAAAAAACAATTAAAAAAAAAATAAAAAATAAAAAACAATTAGAAAATAAATAATAAAAATAAATTAGAAAAAAAAATTAGAAAATAAAAAATAAATTAGAAAATAAAAAAATTAGAAAATAATAATACAATTTTTTAAAAAAAAAAACTCCCGACTGCTGCCAACTAAGTTTTAATGTTTAAATTAAAAAATAATGTTTAAATTAGAAAATAAATAAAAAAAAATAATAAAAAAATTAGAAAATAAAAAATAAAAAATAAAAAACAATTAGAAATAAATAAAAAATAAAAAACAAAACAAAAATTAAAAATAATAAAAGAACAAAAAAATTATAAGTATAAAAAATAAGCTTGTAAAAGTTGGAAATAATCACACATAAATAAAGTCTGTTGTTTATTATATAATTTTTCTTATTTAAATTTATTGTTATCATACATATTTAGCGCTATATAATTTACAAAAATTTCAGATTTTTGAATTCAAAAAATTTTTTAATTATAATTATTATTATTAATTCTACAATTTACAAGAGCAGTCGGGAGACGCCGCGCGTCTAAAAACTGTAACGTCCGTTGAGTATCGATATTTGTGTTTGTGTCTATTTATTACATAAAACGTGCGCGTGCGTATATGTCTCAAATTTAGCGCGGCGTCTCCCGACTGCTCTTGTAAATTGTAGAATTAATAATAATAATTATAATTAAAAAAATTTTTTGAATTCAAAAATCTGAAATTTTTGTAAATTATATAGCGCTAAATATGTATGATAACAATAAATTTAAATAAGAAAAATTATATAATAAACAACAGACTTTATTTATGTGTGATTATTTCCAACTTTTACAAGCTTATTTTTTATACTTATAATTTTTTTGTTCTTTTATTATTTTTAATTTTTGTTTTGTTTTTTATTTTTTATTTATTTCTAATTGTTTTTTATTTTTTATTTTTTATTTTCTAATTTTTTTATTATTTTTTTTTATTTATTTTCTAATTTAAACATTATTTTTTAATTTAAACATTAAAACTTAGTTGGCAGCAGTCGGGAGTTTTTTTTTTGTAAAAAATTGTATTATTATTTTCTAATTTTTTTATTTTCTAATTTATTTTTTATTTTCTAATTTTTTTTTTCTAATTTATTTTTATTATTTATTTTCTAATTGTTTTTTATTTTTTATTTTTTTTTTAATTGTTTTTTATTTTTATTTTTTATTTTCTAATTTTTTTATTATTTTTTTTTTTATTTATTTTCTAATTTATTGCTGTTCTTATGCTGTTTCTTCATTCTTTTGTCTCTCTGCTTCTTCATCCTACACATGTAAAAGTTTTTATTATGTAATATATATATTACAATGTATATAATATAATAATAATAATAATAAAGACACACATACACTCACCATGTGACTGCAATGTTCTATATTCTTTCCAAATATTTTTCTGCTACAATTTTTTTAATTAATATAATATAATATAAATAGAGAGATAAATAAAAAAAAATAGCTAGATAGATAGATTGATAGATAGAGAGAGACAGATGACAAAGACAGATGACAACAATATCTTATATCAAATACGTAAACTTGTACGCAGTTATAATTATGGCTTTGACAAATATATTAACTTTCTTATGGCTATATAAGTTTATACATTATGTAATCACAAGTAAGTTTATATATTTGTATAGCCTTAATTATTATTACATATGTGAATAATCTTTTGTAGTAGATAATTGGCTATGTAAGTTAATATATTTGTCTGCATTGCCATAATTATTGGTGCGCTAATATCTTTGTATAACTATAAATATATTTGTATACATATTTTTAATTAATTATATAATTATTATATAATATACAAATAAGAGAAAAAATAACTATATACATTTATACAATTATATATGTGGATATTTATAGCAATGTGGCTACGTAGCAAATTTAATAGCAAATAAGTGGCTACGCAGACAAATATAAATTCATATAGCCATGTTATGACTACAACAGATTAATTATATTATTAATTATATTATATATTTTTATTAATTATTAATAACAAGATTTACTTGTTTTCTATTATTAATAATGTTTTCTTCTTCAGATATCTTCAAGCGAGTATCTTCTTCCTACATATAAATAAAGAAACAATAAATAAATAATAATAACAATATTCTAAATAAAGAAAAAAACAATAAATATAAAAGAAGAAACTTACTCCTTTATTTATATCTTCTTGAGATATATCCATAATAATACACTTCACTTAATATTGTTGTTGACAATAACACGCAACAGGTGACAGCTAACCTTTCCTATCAGTCCCGTCATTATTACTTCGAGATGTATATACCAATGTCACCAACATTCCCTATCCGGATACTACAACGAATCTCATTGGTGAATCATTTTTCCTCTTAGGTTCACACAGCAGCCAATGAGAGACCGTATTGACGAAATAATACTCATTTTTCACTTTTTATTAATAGAATAAATAACGATAATAATACGCTTTAAACCTTCCTTGATTAATAAGAAACTTATGTTCCAAAGTTGATATAAAACTATGCAGTAGTTATCGAGAATTAAGGTCACGACCGATCCGGGCTCGATGAAACGCATACTTCCTCTCTTTTCGCCAACCTACGGTTGGCAGCAGTCGGGAGAATAAAAAATGCGCTAATGTAAATTACGGCAAAAAAATTATTTTCAAAATCATGTATTTTTAGTTATTAAAAAGAATAAATTTCACCACATTAAATTGAATTAAAACAATTAAAAAATATAAATTGAATAATTGACGAAAAAAATTGAATAATTGACGAAAATAATTTGAAAGTTACTGCTACTGCACATCCTACTTTTTGTCTCTCAATTTTAATTCGTTTTTTTATTTATTTTTATATTGATAATAACACTTTTTGTTGTATTATTTTACATTTTTAATATCTTTTTTAGCTTTATTTTTAAAAAATAAAATTTTTGCAGAAGTGATATACATTATGTACGATAAAATAAAACAATACAAATGATAAAAAATTACAGACAAAAAATACTTCTGAAAAAGCTTCTTTTTCACAAACTTGTTATATTTAGCTGTATATTGAAATTTCTTGCATACGCATCTAAAGTTAATGACATCCTCTATAGTGATATCATTATAGCTGAGAATAATGACTCTTATTTCCTCTGGTAAACACATTATCGTTTCTTTCATTATGAATAGAACAAAACACAAAAAAAATAACATAAATTAAAATAATAACAATGTACTATTCGCGCAATCAATTCTCTGCTTCTGAAAGCACACCAATCTACTACGATATGTTACGAGCTAGAAGCCGCGTAATGTTCGAATAAAGTAAAATCAGGCAAGTGTCTAATATGAAGACTTTATTTATCAAATGCTTATGGTAGGAGATTTTTGCGCTTCAAGAGATGACTTAGAACTAACTAAACTAACGTTTCAAAGAAGATCCAGGATAATCCAGAGATACTGGGAGAAAATTGACCAGAGTCTCATCCAATGATATTTCTTGTTTTAATATTGAAAATCGGGATTGGAACAGTTTAAGTAAAAGAATAATGTAGTATGGTTATGAGATAAAAAAGAAAAGGCAGATAGTTAAAATAAATGAATGGATAGAACATCAATAACTCTTAAGATAGAGTTTCACTTCCCATACAGCACAGATTATTGCAAATATATTGCAGCAACGTTGCAATGTTGCAAGTTGCAATGCAACATTATAAAGACATTGCAGAGATATAAGTGCACAAAATTCCAGCACACTTGTAGCAACATGACATTAATATTTCGGAAATATTGCATGTAATCCAAATTCTATAATTTATATATTGTAATATATATGAATTAACTACAACGTATTTTCATTAATGATTTATTTACATTTATATACCTGTATATGCAACATTAGTTTATGGTTGCAATAACAATACATTATTGCAAACTCATAACATATTGCAATATTGTTGTAATATTTTGTTGCAATCTTCCAAAAAGCGGACATTTTAACATTGCTGCAATTCAACAGCAATGATGTAGCAACATTTTGAGTGAATTTGCAATATTGCAATATTGCGGTGAAAGATTGTTGTAATGTTTTTGCAATCTTTCGGTGCTGTATGGGTTTTATGGTCGGGAGTATAGATTGAAAGATTCAAGGAAAATAAAAATTTTGGACGACTGGGATTATCTGCCTATTCTGGTTTTTGCTTCAAACATTTTTTCTTTATTCTTGAGAAAGAAAAGATGTCGTACCTAAAACCATGAAGAGCATGGATGGACAACGATTTACGATCGTTGAAAATATTAAACAAAAATCGTGAGGGAATTGAAGGCTATATATCAAAAACTGAGAGAATTCTTTATTCCATTACAAACATAGAATTTAATAAAATACATGAAAATAATATAAATTAAAGTGATCACACACAATGAAATATTTGCCTAATTAATTCTCTGCTTTTAAGATATTGTT